TATAGATATGTTTTGGATAGGAAACGATCAACAACCGGTCGCAATAACTTCCGGATGCGTAATGACTTCTAGAGGCCGTGCCGCGAAGAAAACACAACACTTCACCATTACGAAGATCAACTGGTTAACGCTGTTTAAGGAAATAATCGCTGTTTACTCTGAGAATTAATACGAAACCCATAAATATACTCAGAATTAAAATTGAAGAATTGTTATTTATTAAGTAAGTGGTGCATATAGTTACCACGAGGCATTAAAGTGTTCAGTACGACATTATCTCAGGAAAAGTCCTAAATAAGCATTTTGACCGCTTCGAAAACTTGCTATGAATGAAGTGTTCACGCGAAAGACGTGTGTCTTCGTACCTAAGAGTAGCTAATTATAGGCTACTGATAATCTGAAATGCATTGTTCTGCTTGTTAAACGTTTCAGTACATGTTTCAGCCCAGACGGTAGGCTACCCAAGAGTACAGACTCTTTTAATGGCACACAACACTTCCCAAGGACAGAAATAAATTATTATTATCATTTATTTGACTGCAAATGGGTTTTTACCCGGTGGCAGTTGTCCTACTACAATAGGACACAACAAAACATAAGACAACTCATAATATTACAAAACCATATAACCTAAAGTACTTAACTTAAAAATTAATACCAACTAGACATAAGATAGTAACAGTAATGAATTGCATACGTCATGAACTGATGCACTCACATTCCATCAGGACCTTCTCTACACTTCACTACACTTATGAAGCCTTCCCATCCTCACCCCAATTCACCCCCTTCACTGCCCCCACCCATGTATTCCCTTCACTTCACCTCATTTATCACTTTCCTAACCTTCTTCCTAAAAGTACTTGGTTTACAGGAGAGAGTCCCTAAAACCTCAGCAGGTAGCTGGTTCCAGAGTTGGATGGTCCTATTTACAAAGGAATATTTCCCGATATCTGTCCTTTGCCCTCTGCTCCTAATTTTCCGAATATGATCGACCCTGCTCAGATAGTATGGCCTTTGCCTTCCATGCCCGTTCTCCCGTGTACGCTTTGAAGAGAGCACTTACGCGTGCTATCTTTCTACGCTGTGCCAGGGTTTCCCAGTTCGAATCGCTCCTGTGATATGCAAATTTACATGCTTTCCTTTGCACCCGTTCTAACGCATTTATCTGTCCCTCCCTGTAAGGATCCCAGCACGCCGCCCCATACAAGCATTCGAAAACATTTATAAACACTGATAATTCTAAATGACACTCATAAACGTGGTTTACTTCAACGAAGCTTTTGGGTTAAAAACCTGTGCAATGAGCAATGAGACCTACAGAGATGAATATCTTTCACGATCTGAAATGCAATACAAGAATATCCTTTGTCCTGCAGGCTGTGACCGACGGTCTGATACTGCATTTATTTACTGAAAGCTGCAAACCCCAGCAAGGCTCCAGGGATCACGCTAACAAGGTAAGTAAGCTGTACTTAGCAAACAGTTTAGGGTATGGCGTTTAGATTTTGCTGTTTTTGTAAGAGCCAAACTACAAACGTGAATTAGACAAATAACAGAGACACTGTGATGTCGTAAGGATTCATTCGTTATTCATTCTATGCGCGTCTGATTGGCCTTTCTTGTTATAACGAAGTGAAGACAGATAAGAATGCAATGATAATATCACTGTAGAAAGTTCACGATTGAGACTTGAAGTTACTAAGAATGCTTTTTTTTTTCAGGCACTCTCTTTCAGCTGGTGGTACGTAATGTCCAAAGTAGTGGAACTAGCGGACACTGTAAGTAAACTAACATTTTATAACATATTTACGAAAAACTACTAATCTGATACACTTGCTAAACATTACAATTATTAATTTACTAAATATTTGGCTACATTATATAGTGTTTAGGAAGCCCTCGTCCAGCGCGGGGGATACACCCCTCGAAAACGACACATTCGGTTAAAATCCGCGTTGGACAAACGGAATAGCTTATGTGATTAATGGAGAATACGGGACCGCCATCATGGAAAGACAAAATAGGGAAACAATAATATAATAAATATACTGCAGGGATATTTATTTATTAATGAACTGGGTAATATGAAAAGTATCATTCGAAAGTCAAGTATTAAAATATAATAGTTACGAAATTAAAATAAAATATCAACACAGAGTGAAACATCAGACTCCGTCATATCGGACACAGATGTTGATGATTGGGAATCAACACGGCCAGGAATGGGTGATTTCGGTTTTAATCTTTGAAGATTTTCCCGTCTGGAGCGAATCTGAAGGATCTTATTTTTAAAGAGTAATTATATTTTTCGTGTTTTGCAGGCCGCGTATAACCGAGTTTACAGCTCTCGTGAATAACTGTTCGCATACATTTTAACGCGTGTAATCGAATCTGCGTTGGAGAAGGGTTTTCTGTACATTAATCAGCCCACAAAGAAATGGAACTCCAGGAATAAGATTGATCTTCTAGTAGGCGACTGGTCATTGGGCACTGACCTCAGCCACTTTAATCCATCTAACCTGTTTCGTTTTAAATTGAACATTATTCGCACGTTCCGTCTATGCAAGCTCAGAGGTTCTCAAGGCGCTCAAAACATAGATTGTAATCTTCTGGTCTGTGACTCGTTGTGGACTTGTAGGTGGGAAAATCTATCTCTGGTAGCCACTTGGAAAACTGCGATGTAGATGTGTAGTTTATTTATTTGAAGTAGCGGTCGTGGCCTAATTTAAGGTGCTGGCAGGACTGAGGAAAACAACGAAAATGTGGCCGATACTTGAACCCGGGAAGCAGGAAT